AGGACAATATTTGGCTGAGATACAACTATTTGAAAATCTGGAATCTGAGGGTGCAAAAAAATCTAAATATTGAGAAAATCATCTTTAAAGTTGTTCAAATGAAGTTCTTAGCAATGTATATTACTAATCAAAAATTAAGTTTTGATATATATTCAGTAGGACATTTACAAAATATCTTCATGGAACATGATCTTTACTTATCCTAATCCTGATTTTTGGCATAAAAGAAAAATGTATAATTTTGACCCATACAATGTATTGTTGGCTATTGCTACAAATATACCCCAGCGACTTAAGACTGCTTTTTGTGCTCCAGGGTCACAAATAAAGTAGTGCCAAGTTGATATTTATTGAAATTAATTCGAAAGAATTAACGAGAGAGAAAATGCGCGAGCGAGTGTGAAGCTTGTTGGTTTAATTACAAAAACTGCCAAGTTATCACCTCATTGCTGAGAGATATAATGTAGAGTTTTGTTGTATTTATAAAATTCACAGGGCAGGGGTTGAAAACCAGCTCCTGAATGTACAATTTCTTACCTATATAAAGTTTCTGTATCAATAAAATGCGAGCACATACAGCACACCGGCATTAAAACACAATCTTTATGGGCAAACGTGTCGCCCTCGCCATATGTGTGTTTAGACGTAGGTCGGATGTACAGATACCGGATATGTATCTGATTTAAAACCACATTTGGAAGTGGCTCAGATCTGATGAGAAAAAATCGGATCTCGTGTGGATTTTTGTGTTTAAACATGTGCAACAAATTCCGATCTGTGTCAGATGTGAGCAAAAAATCAGATTTTTTGTGCCAGTGTAAATGCAGCCTGTTAACACAGTTAAGTACACTTTTAAAAAGTAATATTGTCAAATTAAAAGTTTTACTTTAAAGTACACTTTAAATCATTATGTTTTAATAACCTTTTGTTGTTTTAAAGAGGTACACTTATTTTGATGTGTTGACTAACATATGAAAAAATTTAAAGTGCTGGATCATAATTTTAACTGTAGTGTTATTTGATATTACATTTAAAGTTAATATATTTAAATTTTTCAATGTTATAAATGTGTAACTACAAATACAAGATTCAATAGAAACGACATTAAAGTATATTTTAGTTTATCATAAACGCCTGTCAGTACATTCAGCAGCACTTTAATCATATTTCAAAGACTATAGAAGTAATTATGAAATTACATAAAAAGATGTACTTAAGTCAATTTCAGCTAATTGCATTTAATATAAATTTAAAGAACAATACCTTTTAATTTAATTGCAATGGACATGCTATTAAGTGTCTGAAATCATTACATTCAGTTCACACTTAAGTATATTATTTTAAAGTAGTATACTATTTTTGTAATAAATACTCTTTTTAAACGTTTACTTATTTTCACAAGGGAATATATTACATTTTTTGTCAATTTTATTGTAAAAATTCTTTCAGAATTACAAAATACCCTACATATATGAAATAAAGAAGCACTTTAAGGGGTAATTTAGTACAGCGATGGCATCAGATGGTAAAACCATGGTAATTTAATAATATACTGTGGTGCTTTAACATTGAACATTCACAAAGACGGTTCTCCAAAGCACTTCAATGAATACTATGATATTACTACGGTATTAGAGCATGTAAAATGCCACACAAGGACTTCCACGAACATTTTCGAGTTACACAAATGGAAAGCTTGGGAAACTTAATGGCCAAATAAAAAAAGCGCTTTAAAATCATTACAACATACACAATGCTGCTTCATTTCATACTGCCAAGAAAATAATACTGATCACAAATATTAAATATATAGAAAATAATCAATATATTCCACAGCCTATCCAAAAAAACATGGTACTTTTTAGTAGCCTTCTATATAGCTACTAAAGAAACAATCCTGACCAAGACCAGTGTGTCTGTTTATGCGATGACTGACCTTTGGCTTCGCACAGAAGCGTCGCGATGCTGTTTTGATAGGTTTGTGTCAGCCTCAGCTCGACTAATGGCAGGAAGAAGCTCTCCAGCGTGCTGTTGAGCGACTGCAGCAAAGCAAACCGCAGACGCAAACTCTCCACTGGAACGCCTGTGTGATCAGAGTTACCTTCAGTGCACACTGGGCTTAAAAACTTGGTGGCTGTACATCTCATAATTATGGAAGCCCGTTTCCGCCACTGAATAAAAAATAAAACAAGGTAATTGCGACTTTTTATCTCATAATTCTGACTTTTTTTTTGCAATTGCGAGTTATAAAGTCAAAATTGCAAGTTATAAAGTCAGAATTGCGAGAAAAAAGGAAAGTCAGAATTGCGAGAAAAAAATAAATTCAGAATTACGATATAAAGTCGCAATTGCGAAAACAAAAGTCAGAATTGCGAGAAAAAAATAAATTCAGAATTGCGAGATATAAAGTCGCAATTGCGAGAACAAAAGTAAGTCAGAATTGCGAGATATAAACTCGCAATTGCGAGAAAAAAAGAAAGTCAGAATTGCGAGATATAAACTCACAATTGCGAGAAAAAATTAAAGTCAGAATTGCGAGAAAAAAAGAAAGTCAGAATTGCAAGATATAAACTCACAATTCTGAGAAAAAAAGAAAGTCAGAATTGCGAGAACAAAAGAAAGTCAGAATTGCGAGATATAAACTCACAATTGCGAGAAAAAAAGGAAGTCAGAATTGCGAGATATAAACTCACAATTCTGAGAAAAAAAGAAAGTCAGAATTGCGAGAGAAAAAGAAAGTCAGAATTGCGAGATATAAATATGGCAGGAAGAAGCTCTCCAGCGTGCTGTTGAGCGACTGCAGCAAAGCAAACCGCAGACGCAAACTCTCCACTGGAACGCCTGTGTGATCAGAGTTACCTTCAGTGCACACTGGGCTTAAAAACTTGGTGGCTGTACATCTCATAATTATGGAAGCCCGTTTCCGCCACTGAATAAAAAATAAAACAAGGTAATTGCGACTTTTTATCTCATAATTCTGACTTTTTTTTTGCAATTGCGAGTTATAAAGTCAAAATTGCAAGTTATAAAGTCAGAATTGCGAGAAAAAAGGAAAGTCAGAATTGCGAGAAAAAAATAAATTCAGAATTGCGAGATATAAACAAAAGAACAAAAGAAAGTCAGAATTGCGAGATATAAACTCACAATTCTGAGAAAAAAAGGAAGTCAGAATTGCGAGATATAAACTCACAATTCTGAGAAAAAAAGAAAGTCAGAATTGCGAGAACAAAAGAAAGTCAGAATTGCGAGATATAAACTCACAATTGCGAGAAAAAATTAAAGTCAGAATTGCGAGAAAAAAAGAAAGTCAGAATTGCGAGATATAAAGTCGCAATTGCGAGAACAAAAGAAAGTAAGAATTGCGAGATATAAACTCACAATTGCGAGAGAAAAAGAAAGTCAGAATTGCGAGATATAAACTCACAATTCTGAGAAAAAAAGGAAGTCAGAATTGCGAGATATAAACTCACAATTCTGAGAAAAAAAGAAAGTCAGAATTGCGAGAACAAAAGAAAGTCAGAATTGCGAGATATAAAGTCGCAATTGCGAGAAAAAAAGAGTCAGAATTGCGAGATATAAACTCGCAATTGCGAGAAAAAAAGGAAGTCAGAATTGCGAGATATAAACTCACAATTCTGAGAAAAAAAGAAAGTCAGAATTGTGAGATATAAAGTCGCAATTACCTTGTTTTATTTTTTATTTAGTGGCGGAAACAGGCTTCCATACATAATCCAAATCTAACAGCATAACGTAACATGGACTCGCCTATTAAGCATGCGACTTGGGGGTCGGCGGTGTCCTTGGCGTCGAGGTAAACTTCATGTGGATGCAAGCGTGCAGGAGTGATGGCCAGGTGTCGGCACAGACGGTTAACAAACTGGACCAGCGCAAAGTCCATCTCAAAGGTCCATTTTCTACTGGCTTTCTGAGCGTGTCGGGAGTCGATGCACGTGCATCTGAAACAAAAAAACACCATTAAGATCTTCAGAGAGTTGCATTCATTATTCTAGCCATTAGTTTTCTTAGACAGTAGAACAAGAGAGACGTGGAAACATGAAGTAGTACGGAAGGAGGTTTGGTCTTGGGAAGGTACAAACCTTTCAAAGTGCAGGTCGTAACCGCACGCCAGGATCGCCCGCCAAACACTACGAATATCCTGCTTGGCTCTGTCTAGAGTAAACTTGTGGAAACCTTCCAGGGTCAGAAACTTCTCTTCTGGCACTGACGGACAGAGGAAAGGTGAGGTGTTCAGATCCATGAGATTCCACCGAAACAGACCATGTATTAGATTTTTGTTAATAAATTCAGAAATCAAGAATGATGTTATATTAACCTTCAAGCTTTTTGGCGGGAGACTTTTCAGGGTCTTTTTCATCGGGCTTGGTCTTCTCAGGAGATTTTGACTTAAGGACTGCTTTTTTCTCACTTAGTACAGTTCTGGAAAAACGCCATTTACCATACCATTTATTATAGTCACCTAAAACTAAAACTAAAAAAATTATTTTCGTTACTTAAGGAATAAAAAAAAACTGGCCAATGCAGCATTACTAATATATATATTTTTGTATTCAATTTATAATAATAATTTTTTTTATATATAAAAATGCCCAAATCATGATTATTAAAGCTTTAACTAAAACAAAAAATAATAAATCAATAAAAATCTAAAAATGTATAGTTTTTATTAATAAAAAATAATAGTATCTCAATGATACAAAAAATAACACTGGTATCATGCATCTTACGAGAGCAGATAAATGAATTTGATATATTTCAAATGAAAAACAATGGTTAATTAGAATGTATTTTATGGTAAGGTATGCCTGTGTTCAATTAAATATTTAAATATTTATAGAGGAAACTGACTACTGAGCGTGATGTCAATACTCACCTAACACTGTTCAGCATGGACTTCTCTTTGGTCGGGGGTTTGGTGATGGGTCTTTTTGTGCTGACCACTTTGCCTTGGTGCTGCTCTTTGCCTGCCTTGCTGTGCTTGTTCTTGTTGGGCTTTACTGTGCCATATTTACGAAGAATCTACATGTACGATAAGAAAAGTTTAGTAATTTAAGCCTTGACCCAGTCAAATACTTCGTGTCTGTTCAACTGTGCCTTAAAACTGATGCTAACAAAAAACAAACTAACAGAAAAAGTTAATAGTATAGTAACACATGTGTGGATTACAACTAGTTATGTCAATTTTTTGTAATTTTCATAACAATAATCAATTATCATTTTGCAAAATGCATGTGGAAGACTCAAAATGACCATGTGCATGTAGTGGATTTTTCTTTTTTATAATAAAAAAATCAACTATTAATACATATGTTTCATGATAAATTAGCCATTTAATAATAATAATAATAAATGAATTACAGTTCTGAGGATTTCACCTGAGTGAGCTGGTCATCAAGCACCTTCTTGGGAGGCCGCACATGTGTAAAAAACAGGTGGAGCAGGTTTCCTGGTGTCTGAGAGTTGATCTGCTCTTTGCTCAGATAAATGTCCGATACTTTCACTGGTTTTGTTGGTACGGGACTCAGCACCTGCTCTGCGTAAATGCAGCTCTTAAAGATGTCTGTCAGCACATCACGTGCTTCAGGAACCAATTTATCTCCTACAAGGACAAAAAATAATTAAACTTGATATCAAGTTATTAAGGAAAACCCTTGCAAGAAGAATTACAGAATAAAATAACATATTTGTAACATTCTGGGATAAAGAAATCAACGAACCTCTGATCGATTTGTCAAGGAAGTACTCCTCCAGGGCAGAACTCCCTTGTGTGTCAAATAAACTCTGATTTACACTGGAGGCGGTGAGGATCTCCTCATTGGTCATCTCCATTAGCTCCTCCTCTCTTTCCAGATTGGAAAGGCCAATGAGATCACTGCTATTAAAAAGACTGGCCCGAATCTTCTCTACTTGGGCCCGGGCCCTTACCTATAAGAAAAAAGCAAAAAAACATTACATTACTAGGTACCTAATTTCTTTCACAAAATGGTTAGTGCTACTAGTGTTGCTAAGGTGCTCTGAGTGGTTGCTAACGTGTTGCTATGCAGTTGCTAGGGTGCTCTAGATGCGTTTTATCATTGTCGGAAAATCTGGTGAAGATGTGATGAACGCAGTAGGAAGAGTTTGTAAAAGCTTTAGCCAAATGAATCACAAAAGTTCTAAGCATATTTAAATAATTTGTTATATTTTGTACCATTAGGTGGCAAGCACTGGCATTCTCAGAAGCTGTCAAAATAAAAGTCCCGCTTCTGACGCTTATCAGCCCACCAAAAAAACGTAATAACCAATGCTGATTATTAAAAAAGGCCAAATATCGGCTGATATATCAGCCCTGGCAAAAACAAATCAGCTGATACTGATAATGAACAAAAAATGCCAAATATCAGTGATATATCCGCATTGGCAAAAACTTAATGGCCGATACGATAATTAAAAATTAATCAAAAATTAATTTGGCCTTGCAAAATAACAGTCAATCAATACTGGATATCATTGTCATGTCTCATGCATGTCTCATGTCTCATGCAATCCAAAGTAGAGGTAAAACGAAATAGGCAAAAAAAAAAGACAGATGTTGAGAATTTAAAAAAAGGCCAAATATCGGCCGATATATCGGCTTTGGCAAAAACTTAACTGATACTGATAATTAAAAAAAGGCTAAATATCAGCCGATATATCCGCCTTGGCAAAAACTTATTGGCCAATACTGATAATTAAAAAATGCCAAATATCAGCCGATATATTGGCCTTGCAATATAACAGTCGATCAATACACATGCACAGGAACCGTGCATTTTCAGTTTTCCATACTTTTCCGTAAAATAAAAATTGTCAAACGTCTTGAGTTATTATGTGCTTACTTGCAAAAGCAATTTAAGTAAAAAAAATAAATTAAATTAATTTGAAACATGAGCATGGTATACCATACCAATAAAAATAACTCTAATTTAACTCTACATATGAAAAATAGTAATAAAGATGCTTGTAAACACCACTCATATTATATTACTGTTGTCTTTCCCACCTACCTCTATGACAGCATAGCCTTTGATTGGTCGTGTCACACTGGCATGGATGTCTGGCGAGGCAACTGTGTACATGGAGCTCCCATCTGAGACTGACGTCGCACCACTATCCAACTGCTCCCCAATGCTGCCGAGACTACCTTGACTTCCTGTGCTACAAAGAGACACATCCAGACTCTCCTGACTGGAGACCGTGTGGGGATCCAGCGGTGCATGTGGCTGGGAAGGTGCTGTTTGAGGGGTTACCAGCTCTTGGTTCACTAGCAGTTCACCGGCAGCCCTGGAAGCTCCCTGTAAAGAGCCGGAGACCGACGTCTGGATCGCTGAAGCCGAGGCACTCATTGCTGGCATTGCGCTGTTGCTATTTGGGCTTCCTGCAGTGCAATCTCGCTTTGCATCTTGGGGAATACCTGAAGTTTCAGCTTTGGCTTTTTTAGGGTCCTCCTCCTGAACCGGAATAAAGATCTCATCCTTGAAGAGACCGCCGTGCGCGTTACAAGCCCTTCGGATTGCATTGCGCACCACAGATTCCTCTAAGTGAGTGGGGATTCCTGAGAGCACGAGCAAACGACTGTGAGCGGTGGAGCCAACCAAGGCTTGGCAAGCATCTGCAACCGCATCTTCAGTGACGCCCAGACCTTGCGGGTCCTTTTTAGCAAGGTGCCGCAAAATCAAGAGTAACGTCAACCCACGGTGAAACCACAGCATGTCCTCTGGCTTCCCTCCGGCCATGTTTAGTAAAGCACTGTCACATTCTGATGGTCTCGCTCCACTTCCAGAACCATGTTTCCCTGAGACGGCAGCTGCCGAAGTAACGGCTACCGCTGCCCGTTCACGCTTTAGCTTCACCTTTTTGCGCTTTGAAAGCAAGCTTGGACTTTGGGGCGTCTGGCCCGGAGAGGACGACGAAGAGGACGAGGAATCGCTACAGTTAGCGGTGCTCGTGGATGAAGGGGCGCCTACCGCCGAAATCCCTGCACCTGTACTGAGCGGCAGAGTCACTTCGGCGACTGCCAGACACACCTCCATCAGGGCATGGAAGTAGGTCGAGAAGCGGCTCCGCTCGGTGACGAGCGCAAGCGCTCCGCTGCTACCCGCTGCGGAAGTGCAGGAACCTCCGCTAACTAGCCCCCAACTTTGGGTCTCGTGGTCGTAAAGTTTTCGTAGCTCGGATTGAAGAACCATAAGGACTGTTAGGCAAGGGTTGAGAAGCAATGTAATGTGGCTAGACAGCCCCGAGGGGGTTTTGCGACGCTCGAAGGCGTGGATCTTGCGGAGAAGCTCTGCAAGCAAGTGGAAGATCAGCTCCTTGATGCACGGCGCAAGATCAGTGGTCCACAGAAGCCCACCTAAAGACAGACACCGCAAATGTGATGCTGAAAAATGGAACTGCACTGGAAGTTTTAATAGTATGCTTCATGGGACCCTCGGGGCAAAATAAATGAACATTTCTTACCCAGCAACTCTACAACCTGCATAAGCACAGAAGTGGGCACAGTGTCCAGCTCATCCTCAGAGCGGTCAATGGTTTCCCCTATGGTGTAGGTTAGCAGCTGTTCAGCAAAGGCCATGGCCAAGGGAAACTCAAGAGGCAACGAATGCAATACCAGCACTGCACCAGGAGGGGGAGATACACCTGCAGACAGTGACCAGAATACGAGTTAAATATGCCATGAACACATGTGAGCATATAAAGCATTTAGACAGAAAACGGCCATATTTTGAAAATAAGTAGTTTTGCACTATGCAAAACTCACTGCTTAATGAAAGCAAGATACAAAAAAAGGTCATTCAATAACATGAGTGCTTGTGACATCCATAGAGAAAACACAGCTAATGTTGTCTTGTCTCTGAGTTATAACTAGCTAAAATTATAACCTGTAAGAACTCACTCTTTGCGGCAGCTGAGTTGGCTCTCTTTGCAAGAGACGACCACAAAGGCGGCGCCAGGGAAGTTCACGTCCATGCTGACCTTGGACTCTGAGATGGGAAACTCTTCCAGTGTGAACTGCTCTGGAGCGCTCTGAAATTTTAGCGATCATAAACAAATATAACCACAAAAACAACTAATAATCATTTAACAGAGATTAATTTAACTTCCATATGTTTCTTAACATACTTGTGTAACAATTTTTATGTGAAATATAGTTTTACTTTAAAGTTGCATGCACACACACACACGCACATACGCACACACACACACTCACATGCACACACACACACACAC